GTCTGGTTGTCTTGAGTGAATGCAAATCTGACATTGCCCTGCCCGCATTGTCTTTGGTCCATGAACAGTTCTTTAGCTGTCCAGTGTGGACGAGTTCTAGGCTGAGATTGGTGGGAAAGCGGCAGCCCTCTGGGGGCCCAGCAAATGCTTTTCAGCTTCCAGAGTTAACAGGTGGCCCTAGGAAAATGCAGGGCAGAGAAGGAAAATAGGAGATGAGTGGGAAGAGGAAGTGAAGACAGGAGACAGGAGAAATAACGAACATTTCTTGTGGGCTTTCGTAGGTCATGCACCTCTGCTATGTCCGTGAGATAATATCTCCTGAGAAATGAAAAGCATGTGCGTCTCAGAGGGATAAGAAAAGTATGTAAGGACAGGTGGTAGAATGTTACGGCAGAGATTCCTGATACTGCGTTGTTGGTGACCTCGCCCTGAGAGGTTGGAACTTATTAAGCATGTACCAAGTGTCAGGACTGTTGAAGAGAAACGAAAGCAAGCATCTTGCTGGCAGCCTCTGAGGTCATAGTTTGCTGTCCAACAGCCATGGTCATGGGCAGACTTAGTTTTTATGGGGCCTGAGTTGTATCAGGTTTTTTTTTTGTTTTGTTTTTTTTGTTTTGTTTTGTTTTTCCCCGGGGAGGAAGGAGATTTTCAAAAGCAAGGCTATACATTTTTAAAAATATGAGATTAAGTCCAAGGCCTTAATAGAAGTCTGCTCTCGTGAGGAGTCCTAAAGCTTAAGCACCTTTAGCGACCTCATTAAGTGACTCTAGCAATTGACAAAGTGTCAGAGTGGTGCCTCAAACCTGTTCCTGTTGGAAATGAAGAGGGGAGGGGGGAGGAACGGGATGGAGCTGAGCTGGGAGTCAAACACCCTTCTCACACGAACCCGTAAGCGCCATGTTCATTACAGCCCAAAAGACTGCTTCTCGGTGATTTGTTCAAATTCCCTGCGGTTAAAAATTCCTTTTATTTTTTGGTTCAAATGGTTTTACAAAAAGTTTCATTTCAAGTCTAAAATCCAAGCGCTTTCTGGTCTGGAGGACTCTCTGCTAGGATCCCAATAAATGTCTTGTTGTCAGGGTGATAAGCCCTGCATTTCTGGATTTAGACTAAAAATGCCTTGAAAATATTTAATAATCTGGTGATGCAGGGCTTTGACTGGATCTATTGGGTGGGGGTTGGGGGATTCAGGCGCCCCCTCTCTGCACTCCGGTGTCTCCTGGGTTTTCCTGTGCATCAATGCCGTGTGGGGAGCCCGTGAAAACCCCAAATCTTTCCCTTTACCTTCCAAAGGAATCCAATACCGACCAGGAGATTCAGAGCAAGTGAATTCTCAACTTACTCCTTCCTTGCCCCAAATTGCCCTAATGCAACCCTGTTCCACCGGGAGGGATTATAAGCATGCTTAACAAAAGGGGAAACTGAGGCACGGGGCAGTAAGCAGCTTGTCTTAGATCACCCAGCAAGCTTACGTTTCAATGGCATCTTCCGGCTCTCCGAAGGTCTGCCCAAGGTCATGCACCGAGGGAAACTGAGGAAAAGAGCATGTTCATAGGAGTGGAGAGAAGAATCTCGCAAACCTAGATGGGGACAGGGCTGTGATTGGATGATATGTCCAATCACATTTGAGCGAATACCAATTTAACAGAAACAAATTTATAAAGGACTTTGGGAGTGTTGGCAAGGGGAAAAATAGAGATTTTTGTAAAAATGGAGAATGGGGTTCTGGGCGGTGGGACGTTATGGCACCAACAAGCCACAGAATCTGCCGCCTGGGATGGGGTTGGGGGTGGGGGCAGGGAGGTGTTTGTGCAGCACCCAGCAGATCACAAGGCCCTCAGTCCATGTTTGCCAAAGGAATTTGCCAAGGAGGCCGAGTGCTAACGTTGCCTCTATTTGATAACTCCCATTTTCCTGGTTGCCATGATCCTGGCGTGGGACGCAGGCCAGGAATCCAATGGGCAAAAGCAGACAATGGGAGGTGATCTGGGAGCGTGGGGTGCTGATGAAGGCCGAGGGGGCGCAGGCTCAGCCACAACCCCAGCCCAGGGTGCCAAGGAGACCTGCCTCTTTGCAGACACTTCCCCATGGGGATCAGCTGGGGTGGGGGCGGGGTGTCTCGGTGCGGGGGTGGGAGGGCAGGAGTGATCTCATCTGCCTAGTAATGAAAAATGACCTGAACGGCGCTCTGATCCTGGAAACTCCCATCTACCCGGGGCCAAGGAAAACAGGATTAGGCCTTATTGCTTCTGCGATGGCTTTGCGTCTGCTCAGAAGGAGTTAAACCGGAGGGAACAGAACCACCCTCTCCCTCCGTGGCCCCTGCAGATAAACTCTGAAAGATTCCGGGGTTCAGAGGACAGGCTTCCCCGGGCCCTCCCTCCTGCAGACACCGGTTGAGTCTAGCTTCCTTCGCTTTTGAAGTGGACAGTGGTCACCCCGTTTTGGGGGGTGCATTCATCATCTCAGAAAGCTGGCTCTTGCGAAGCCAGACAAACCACCCCCTCTGGCCTCTACCTTCTGACAAGCCGCCGACTTCGGGGCGAACGTGCCCTCCCGGCGTCCACACCACACGCTTGCCTGGGCGGGCAACTACCGGCACGTGATTCTCTGGGTGCCCTAATGGGGTGGCACTGGACTAGGTCTTGGTGTGTCTGTGTTTGAGGGCACAGTCTTCCCAGGGCCGGTTTCAGGATTGCCAAGAGCGCACTTAAAAACCAAAACCTCACAGGCAACCATCTCTTCTGTGGCCGCGTTCTTCAAGCCATTCTTTTCCCAAGACAAAGGGGTGAGTAAGTCCACAGGGCAGCGCTCTTTTCATTGCAATGTATATTTATTGTAAACAATAATATACAAAAAAAAAAAAAGAGAGAGAGAAAAGATAAGTTTCACAGAGAGGACAGAAGTTTCGGGGTATACAGGGAGGGGGACAAGGAAACAAACAAAACACAAACACGAACCAAACCTTAACCTAAAGACAAAAATATGATTTTAAATGCCAGGTTTTTTTTTTTTTTTTTTAAGTTACAGAAATATTTTTTTTTTTTTAAAAAAGATCTGCTTGTATACAGAAATGGAAAGATGCCATATTATAAGAGTGCTTTAAGATTTTATTCTACTGACTTCTAAAACTGTTAATATATCTTTTTTGTTTTTTTTAAATAAAAAAAAAGTTTGCTGTCTTTTTTAAAAAGCAATCCTCAAACGCCCCAGCCACAGAGATAATGAATTCAGGTCTGTCGGCGGGCTGTCCCTCCCTCTTTCCTCCCTCTCTCCAAGAGAACATGCAGAGGAATGGGCGCCACGGGCTCCCGCTGTCCCGTGTCACACACACGCACACCGCGTCGGCGGCCCGGGAATCTGTGGCAGAAAACACTGCAAAGGACTCAGTGATACACTACATTTGAAACCTCTCATTTGTACAAAGAAAAAAAAAAATAAAATAAAAGAGAAACAAGTTTCCAGTTTTTCAACAAAAAAACAACAAAGGAAAAAAAAAAATACAAGGACGGACAAAAAGGCATATTTATACAAATCTAGGACAAGGAGTCCAAAGAAACTTGCTTTTAATAATACAAAAAAAAGATTAAAGAGATAAATTAAAAAAAAACAACAACTGGTTACAGTTAAGAACATAATTTAACAGGATGACCATACCCTTTGAGGAAGGCTCCAACAACCTATTTTAAAGGTACATTTTAAAAATAAAAAAAAAGGGATGCTTTTTTTTTTTTTTTTTTAATGAAAACCTCTCCTTACAAAATAAATAATTTGAGCACGTGGAATGTCTTGAAGGTGAACTGCTGGTGTTCAGAGAGGCACAGGTGACTGGGAGGTGGCTGCCACATGGGGCCAGGCAATCAGGGGGCAGAGGGCAGGGGGCAGGGAGCAGGGGGCAGAGGGCAGGGGGTGGGGTGGGGGAGGGGAGGCACTGACTGGCTGCTGAAACATCTCCAAATCACATTTCCTCTCCTTGCCTTTCGCTTCTTGCTTGAGACTTCCGTGACCAGGCAGAACGCAGGAGGAAATAGATGCGCGTATTTGTCAGCAGCACATTTTAAGGCTCAAGGTGTTTTTTTCTTCTTTCTCTCGTTTAAAAAATATATACGTGATAACGCTTACCATATGCTTCTCTAGACTAACGTGTGTAGGTCCATACTTGCAAAATAAGGCCTTTATTTGTCTAAGGCAGCTCCTCTCCAATCAGAAAGCCAGAGGCATTAAGCAAAGCTAACACCCCGCCCCCCCTCCCCCATCTCATCTCATAACACAAACCTGTGGGGGTTTTTAAAATGTTAATACGACACTTTTTTTTTCTTTTCTTTTTTCTTTTTTTTTTTTTTTTGTAAGAGAAAGCAAATCTGTACAAAAATACTCTGGTCGCGAGAAAAAGCTAGGGCACGCTTGTTCCACTAAAGTAGTTTTAGCTGTTGGAAAAATAAGAGCATTTACTTTTTTGCTTTAAATCTAAAAATATGTATAAATCCCCTCAAAATGGTAATGCATCATACACAGTACATACTAAAAAATATTTAAAATAGAGAATATTCCTCACAGAGGACTTTCTTCTTTAATTACGGCTAAAAAATAATTACAAGAGTCCAAACAGGCCGAGAGAGTGAGCAAACACGGTCGGTCCCACGGGGTCTCCATCCTCCTGGAACTGGCTGCAAAGACGTCTACCAACAAGTCCGGCCTCCTGCGGAGATGCCCGAGGGTCCCTGGAAGGGCCCGAGTGGCCTGGCCACTGCCTGCCTCCAGCAAGGTGGGCGTGCGTTTTTGTGGACAGCCAACTGTGTCTGCCTTGGCATGTGGGTCCCAGAGTTTGCCTTGTAGCTTACCATGTCCTTATGGAATGAGAAGAAGAAGAAGAAAAAAAAAAATAGTCATGTCCAAATGCACAGAAATCGTGGTGGATTGTTTTTCTTTTTCTTTTTTCTTTTCTTTCTTTCTTCGGTGAGGGGTTCCATCATCATCCATCCCCCTTTGTCTCCGGCTCCTCAGGGTCTGGTGAGCTGTGTGTAGACGGGCTGTTCCCAGTGCTGGGGGCTGTGGGTCTGCGGGATGGAGGGCACCCCGGAGGGGTCGGCGATGGGCGTGTACATGGGCCGCTGCGCCGCGGGGTTCATGTAGGTGAAGGTGGAGTAGAGGCCGGCGGAGCCCTGGCCGGCCGCGTGGCTGTAGTAGGAGCCGCCGGAGCCCTGGTGGTCGCTGTAGTCGTACTGCGCGCGGGTGATGGGCGGGTAGGACGGGCTGTAGTGCGGGAGGCCGAAGGGGCTGTAGGCGATCTGCTGCGCGGCGGGCGACGGCTGCTGCTGCTCGCTGTAGTGGCTGGGGCTCAGCTGCTCCGTCTTGATGTGCGGCCGCTGCGCCGGGCCCGCCTCGCCGCCCAGCGGGGTGAGCGTGTGCGCCGGCGGCTGCGGGGCCTGCGGGGGCTGCGGGGGCGCCTGCGGGGGCTGCTGCTGGGGGGGCTGCTGCGGGGGCTGCGGGGCCTGCGGGGGCGGCTGCGGCGGCGGCGCCTGCTGCTTGGACATCCACACGTGGCCGCCCGCGCCCGCCGGGGCCGCCGCCGCCGCCGCCGCGGTGCCGCTGCTGATGCCGTAGCTGCCCGTGTAGCTGACCTGGCCGTGCGTGGCCGGCACCCCCGGGTGGCCGTTCGGGGGCAGGTACTGGTCGAACTCGTTGACGTCGAAGGTCTCGATGTTGGAGATGACGTCGCTGCTCAGCTCGCCGATGTCCACGTCGCGGAAGTCGATGGGGGGCTGGCGGGGGCCCCCCTCGGGCAGGGCGCGCCCCTCGCGCTTCAGGTCGGCCTTGCCCGGCTGCTGCACGTCGGTCTTGGGGGTGGTCGGCGGCGTCGGGGGGCCCTGGGATTGCCCTGCAGGCCATAATAACGGAGAAAGAAGCGCAGGAAAAATCAGCAGGGGGTGTGTGCAAAGGCCCTGGTTTTGGGAATCCTCCGGAGACCCTCCCTCCCTGATGAAGGGTCCAAGGGCCCCCCACGTCCCCTCCTGTAATCAGTAATTAACTTGCGGGCCCACACTGGGCCATCTCCTTCCATCTGGGGCACCTGAGGGCCCTCCACCAAATTGCTCCTTGGGGGAGCCCCGGTGTGTGTTTGCAGTTGGGAAGCAAAGGAAAGGAAAGAGGGGTGACGTCCAGCAAAGCTGTGAAGGCATTTACCTCCTACAATAAAAGTCAGTGTGTATGTGTGTGTGTATGTGTGTGTGTGTGTGTGTGTGTGTGTGTGTGTGAGTGTGATGTATGTGTGTGGTTAGGGGTGGGGGATGTTGGCTCCCGCTCCCGGGTGGCGCAAAGTCCCCAAGCGGCGCCTCTTAGGGGAGGCCTGGGGTGCGCCAGGCGGCCGCGGCTGGGGGCTCAGGGGCGCCCCCCGGGGACTCACCCGAGTGCTCGCCGGGGGAGTGCACCTCGCTCATGCCCGAGGAGGAGTGAGGCGAGTCGGCCTGCAGCGCCTTGAAGATGGCGTTGGGGGAGATGTGCGTCTGTTCGGCCGCCTCCTCGGCCTCAGCCTGGCCGTTCTTGACGGACTTCCGGCGGCGCGGCTGGTACTTGTAGTCCGGGTGGTCCTTCTTGTGCTGCACGCGCAGCCGCTCCGCCTCCTCCACGAAGGGCCGCTTCTCGCTCTCGTTCAGCAGCCTGTGCGCGAGCGGGGCGCAGGGGAAAGGGGGGGGGGGTCTGTGAGGCCGGCGGCGGGGGCCGGAGGGGCCCCCCACCTCTCCGCGCTGCTTTTGCGCAAAACCCCGTTTCCCCCCGCCCCTGCTTTCCAGCCACTGCTACAGCTCCTAACTTTTCTTAAACAAGTAAAAAATAAATAAAGTCTCCCCCATTCTGTTAGTGGGGCATGAGGGGTCACTCCGCGCCCCGCCTTCTCCCTTCCCTTCTATTTTGGAAACCCTGCAGATGGAAATAGCTCTCTTAATGCCTCTGCTACCGGACTTCTCCCTCTCCCACCCCACCCCACCCTCCTCCTCCTCCCTTCAAACCCTTCCCAAAAATCCCATTCCATTTGCAAGGAGCCCCTCCTGTGCCCCCTCCCCCCAACACTGCTCCCACCCATTTCCAGTAGCCTCCCTCCTCCGCCCCCTTCTGCTTAGGGCGGGGGGGGGGGGTCCTCTAGCCTCGGTGCCTCTCCCCGCCCTCCATCCCCACTCCCTGAGCGCAGAGCTACCCAAAGCCCGCAGTTCCCGGGGAGAGAAGCGGACTTCACTCTGCGCTCCAGCCCCCGTTTGGGATTGCGGTTCCTCAGGCTGGCCCCCGTCCCGCTGTGCGTGCGTCCCACCGGCCTTCTCCCACTCGCTGGCCGTCCATCCATCCCTCCACTCCCCCCAATCTCCCCCCCTCCCCGCCCCCGCCCCCTCCTCCCTCCCCTGGAGCCATCCAAGAACTTTGTCAAACTCCGAGCCAAGTTACACCGCGTCCCCACCCCCTCCGGCCCCACCCCGCCCGCTGCGGGAGGCGGGGCACGGAGAGGGGGTCTGGGCCAGCGCACCCCTCCCTCGGCCCCCCACCCGGAGCCCCCGGCCGCCGCCCCCCTACCTCCAGAGCTTGCCCAGCGTCTTGCTGAGCTCGGCGTTGTGCAGGTGCGGGTACTGGTCGGCCAGCTTGCGGCGCGCCGCCTGCGCCCACACCATGAAGGCGTTCATGGGCCGCTTGACGTGCGGCTTGTTCTTGCTGGAGCCGTTGACGCGCACGGGCATGGGCACCAGCGTCCAGTCGTAGCCCTTGAGCACCTGGCTGACGGCCTCGCGGATGCACACGGGGAACTTGTCCTCCTCGCTCTCCTTCTTCAGGTCCGGCTCGCCCTTGGGGAAGGTGTTCTCCTGAGGCCGCGTGTTCTCCGTGTCGGAGCCGGAGCCCGAGGGGCAGGGCGAGCCGGCCGAGTCCTCGGACATGGTGGGGCTGGGGGCGCCGGACAGGCCCTTGTCCTGCTCTTCGGTCATCTTCATGAAGGGGTCCAGGAGATTCATGCGCGGGCCCGGGGGAGGGGGCGGGGGGCGGCCGGGGAAGGCGAGAAGCCGCGGCGGCGGCTCGGGGGCGCGGGGCGCGGGCTCCTCTGCCCTCGGCGGCCCGGGCGCGGGGCGAGCGCCTGGCGTGTTGCTCGGCGGCGGCTGGGAGCCCTTGGGGGGGCGCGGGGTGGCCAGCCCGCAGCTGCTCGCTTCCAGGGGGGAAGGCGGACTGGAGAGGAGGAGGAAGAGGAGGAGGAGGGGAAGAAAGAGCGAAAGCGGGGGCGATCGCACCCCTTTTCCCTCTCCTCAAAGAAAAGTTCCTGGGGAGAAACTGGCGAGTCGTGGCGCCACTGGAGCTCCCAGTCAATGTCAAGCTCCGCTCTCCGCTCTCCGCCTGCCGGCCCGCGGCTCTTTAATAAATACTCCCCCCGCACCTCGGCGCCGGCCAGCCAATCCGGGGCCGGCGGGCAGCTGATTGGACGGGGTTGGGGGGGGCGGGGAGGATCGCGGCGCTGGGCTGGGTGACCAGGGGGGCGGGGCGGCGCTGGGCGGAGAGGGCTGCGGCGGCCGGCGGGCGGTTAAGGGGGGGTGTGTAGGGGGGAGGTGTGCTGCTGGAAAGGCGGGGGACCCGGGACATCCAAGTGTGTAAGTTTGCCGTGCTCTCGTCTTGCAATGTCAGAAGTTTTTGGTGCGTCTCTGCGCGGATCTCCGTGTGTGTGTTTGCGTGTATGTGTGTGTGTGTGTGTGTGTGTGTGTGTGTGTGCGTGCGTGCGCGCGCGCGCCTAGGACCTACCCCATCCCCAAAGCACTGCTCCTCGGAGCTTTCCCCGCGGTCCCGGGCCGGATCCGGCGTTCACAGTGTGTGGGAGGCAGTCCCTCCGCACCGCGCAGCCCGGTGAAGGAGCTTGTGCTCAGGAATGGCTTTTTGCAACAAATGTTTTGGTGACTCAGCGCCTGCCGTTCCCCTGTAATAACCCATATAAATAGGGGAGCAGGCTCCGGCGAGGCCGGTCGGGGATCCGGCTGCGCTTTTGCAAAGGGAATCAATGAAACCCAGAGCTAGCTCCCCGCGCAGGCGAGGCGGCTGCAGGCGGCCGTGCAGCCCCGCGCTTGCTGGATCGCTTGCTCACTCGCTGGCAGAGCCGTCCTCAGTCCACGCGGACCTTGAACTCCGACAATTTCTCCTCCAGCCCCCCACCTCCAAGCCCCCCACCCCGCCAAAGCGCCCCGGTGACAGGGCCACTTGCTGTGAGGGTCCGCTCTCCATCTCCCGGCCGAGTTGCAAACTGGAAAGAGTGTGCAAACTGGCTCTGAGCGGTTACCTAACTGGGCGAGCGGGGCTGCCCTGGGGCCGCCAGGCTGAGGCCAGTCGCTCAGTTTGCAAAAGGCTAGACTGATGGGTCCCGCTGCAGGCGAAACAGGCCACTCCGGCGGTCCCGTGCCTGCCGGCTCTCCCCTCCTTCACCGTCACCCGGAGCGGGGAGCGCCTGGGGACTCCGCTTTACAGTCCGGTCCTTTTGTGACTCGCAGACAGTAGGGACTTCTGCGGAGGGGTGGGGGTGTCTGATGTCTTTCCAGTGTGATTTGAGCACCAGCTTTCCTGTTTACACGTATGCTGAGAGTCTGGCTGGGTATCTTTTTCTGGGGGAGAAGAAAAAACTTTAGTCGTCCGAGGGTTACTTCTTTCGGAATCCAACGGAGCAAAAACTCTTCTTAATTTTCAACGTTTCCCTCCCCCCAACCCCTTTCCTGGCTCCGGCAAATATTCACCTCGATGTAAATGATGGTTCTTGTGACTCGGCCCGAATCATACCAGAGACTTGTTTATTTCTAATTTGCAAATTGCGGGGGGACTCTGATTTTAAGGATGGTTTTTTTTTTTCCCTTGAGGAATTTTCAAAAATTTTGTTTTCTTCCAAAGAGCTGGACATTTCTTATAGGAAACGGGACACTGCAGAAAGTAGTGAGTTGCAACCCTGTTCAACAGTATTTTACTTTTTAATCGAAGGTAACTCACAGTGGATGTCCTGGTGATCTTAGAGTTTAACAGGAGGTTAAGAGATCTCCTTACAGCATTCTTGCGTTCATGGCTTCCTAATATGCTGGCGAAAAATAAGAACGACTTTGTCCTTATTTCGGGGAGAAAAAGTCCCGCGTAGTATGGACTGACGGGTCCTGGGGAGGGGACATTCGTGGATATGACTGACTGTGGGATTCGTAGGCAACTGACCCAGAAGGAGGCTCAGACACCAGAACTTGGGGCAGAGGTTTTAACCAAGGCGTCTGTATTTAGTTGCATTTGATCGTAATTCTCCTGTTTCCCGGTGTAAAAGGCATTGAAGGCGACCTTGACTTGGAGCTAGTTTGGAACATTTCACTAAATATTGGTAAAAAAAAAATACCTACACACGTAAGCCTACTTTAATACATTTTTTATAACAGGGCATAAAACACGCAGAGCTTACATAGTAAGTGATAGTATTGTGTACATTTTCTGTTCGTTTGATGCAAGCATTTTGTGTTCTTGCATCTTTTTTTTGGAAAACACGGTAAAAACAATCAGTTGACTTAAAAACCGGGCTGCAATTCTCAGCCGCATCCAGAGGGGGCGCCAAAAGCCCAGAAACGGTCTCGGCTCGCAGAAAGCGCAGGAGAACTCTGCTAGCGGTGGTGGAGGGTGCCTGTCCCTCTCCATCAGGACTGCTCTGCCGCCAGATTTATCTGCAGAAATTCCGGGAGACACAGTGTGCCCTCCCGTGAGGACCCTCCTCTGGGCAGCCCGTGTCTATAGAGGACCCGGCGGATAAAAAGTGCGCTCCCCATGCCTGACAATTCTATTCTGCACAGAACGCGGAGACCCAGACCACTGGCAGGGTGCCCCCACCCCCACCCCGCCTCCCTGGTGCCAGGCGATGCCCTCTGCTAGGCGAGCTAGGGCCAGGCCCAGTCGGATGCATAGAGACCATCCATTGCCAGTGAGGCAGTCCTGAATGTCTTCTGGGGTCCGGGTGCCAGCTCCCCCACCCCCATTCAGTTCGCTGCTTTCCCCCTGCCAGTCGCCCCTGACTTTTCTTCCCTTCCTGGGAAGACAGCAGGGGTGGGGGTGGGTGCTGGGATGGGGACAGGAACCCTTCCCCCAGAATTGAGGCTACAGATGGGGAAACTGAGGCCCTCGGCCCAGTGTTAGCCGAGGGAAGGGGCGCTGGTCAGGCAAGGGAAAAGCAACCAGCTGCCCTTCGCACGAAGCAGCCACGCGCATTCGGCCCAGGCACCTGGGCCAGAGCCACGGGGTCTGCGCGGGGAGCAGAGACTTGGAGGTGCGAGCGGATCCCCAGGGGAGACCTCGGGAAGCCAGGGTCTGGGACCCTCCTCCCCCTTCTCCCTCTTTAGGCGTCTGGGGGGCCGGCGCCAGGCTCAATTTCTCCAGCGGGGCCGCCAACCTCCCTGCGAGAGTTGTTGGCACAGAGCGCTTTCCTGGCTCTGCGGGGCGGTGCTCACCGGGCTGCCAGGGGGTGGGGCTGTGTCCTGGGATGGAGTTCCCCATACCTGAGGGATGAAGGGGCATAACCTCCCTTCCCCATATTTCTTAGCAAAAGTGGGGACCATGCCTGAATCCGTCTTCAGCAGGGACGCGCCTCCTAGGAGAATCTGGTTGGGGTGAGCAGCAGGGTCTCCCCAGGAGCTCAGCCCTGGGCCACCTTTTCTAGAGAGGTGCCCAGAGATTGCCCTCCCCCCCCCCCTTTCTCCGGCCAGGTCCCCAGGCTCATTCCCCTGCAGGTGAAAGACCCCCCATCCCTGGTGGGCCCTCAGCCCCCGCGCCCTGCACTCGCAGGCGCTCCCGGTCATGGGTGCGTTTCCCTGGGCATGGAGCCTGTGTCCGGCGGCTCTTCAGGCCCAGGGGCTCCGCTCTCTTCGGAAGGAGCAGCCGGTAAGGCGAGGCTCGGACAGGCTCCGGGCTGGACGGCTGCAGCCAGAACGGGAAGGAGAGTTGCAGATGGCTCCGTAATAGGGGCGCAGTGAATACCGTGCGGGGCAGAGTACAAGTAACCCCCCAACACCCTGCCCTGGGCTGTGTGCCTGTGTCATCACAGGTCGAAGCTCTGTGTGCGCAGTAGTCCTATGTGTGTGTTTCTACCCATTTAGACGCCTGTGCCCCCACTCCCACCCCGCGCACCCCTAGAACTGAAGGCCAAGGTGCTTTTGGGTTTTCCCCCCTTTTCTGTTTCCGGAAAGAAAGAGGGTTGAGAGGGACAGGGGGTGGTGGTGAGGGAGATGTGAAGCATCGCCCATGTGGGGGGCCTGAGAAGGGTGGGGTTCCAACCAGCACCTGAGCCAGAGACAGAACTGCTGGCTTCTCTGGGCTGGCCGGCTCTCCAGGAGGGGTGGGGAGGGGGGAGGGGGAAGAACGTGGGAAGTGCGACGTTTCACTCCCAAAGGGACTGTGTGCCTTTCCCCCCTTTCTCTCACTTTTAAAAATCCCAACTTGCCCCCAAAACATCTGTGGTTAATCAAGGCACAAGGGAGCCGAGAGTTACCCCTGGAACAGCCTGCGGGGGTGGGGGGGGGCACGGGAAAGTTCCCAGGCAAGTCCCCCCCCAGACCCCCTTCCTCAATACGCCTTTTAAAAATCTGACATCCTGGCTAAGGATGCCTTCGCCTTTGGGACTTAAACATGCAAATAGAGTCAGCGGGACTCCAGGGCCCCCAGCCTCAGAAGGGCGAGGATTCGCACCTGCACCCCCTCCTCCTCTCGGGTCACCTCTCCAGCAGGAGCGCAGGGCTAGGGGTGGGGGTGGGGGGTGTAGGACCAGCAGCACAGTGCCAGAAAGGAGCTGGGTGCCCGGACACTTTTTGATGGTCCCCTGGGGGCCTGCTGGGCTCTCCAGCGGGGGCTTCAGCTCCAGCTGAAGGGACTGATTTTCTGGGCTCTTTATTAACGGGGAATG